TAACTTCTTAACCGTGTTTCCTGATGATTCTAGTGATGGTAATGTTGATCTGTAATAGCATGTATACTAATTATTAATGTTAGTAGTAGTAGTAGTAGTACCTCTTGTTGTTGTTGTTGGATGGTGGTGGTAGTGGTGGTGCCCATACACCAAAGTATATTAGACATCTATCCACATCAACTGTAATATCAACTATTCTACCTATCTCTAATGGTGCTACAAATGCATGACGTCTACTAACATCAGAATGGGTACGAGAACATATATGACCTCTTCTATTGAGGAATATAGAATCAATCCTAACAACAATGTGATACTAATGCTGATAATGATAATGATGATATTATTAATATTACTTTTGTATATTCTTCTTACAAGGTAGTTGTGAACTAAATGCATAACCAACACCATCTGCTGGAGATATCTCTCCTCCATCAAATGATAACATATAACGATGTACACCTGATTATGTATTACTACTATACTAATCTTATTATTATTACTATTACCATTCCTTCTTATCTTTTCCTCAGTTACCATACTTAGTCTACCCTCATATTCTAACTTAGTAAAGGTATGTAAGTCATCAGATAATGTACCTAATAAGAAGGATACTAATAATGGTATACTTATTGTTATTACCCATAGTCTCGGCATCAATATGCCAACAATGTCTTCCTACATTAACCTCTTCAATAGTAGCAGCAGGAGGTTGATTAGTAGTAATACCACCACGACCACGACGATAATGATCATCATAATGTTGTTTATTATTGCTACGATAATAATGTTGCTGATGATGATAGTAATAATCCTGTTCTTCTTCTTGTTGTTGTTGTTGAGATGTATATCCAATATTCTGATAATCCTGAGTATATGGATAGTAGTAATGTCCTTGTTCTTGTTCTTGTTGTTGTTGTTGTTGTTGTTGTTGTTGTTGTTGTTCTCCAAATTGAACCTATCATAATTACTAGTATTACCCCTAAAATACTACAACTACATTAGGAGTAAATGATGATGTATCCTCCTCCTCCTGCTGCTGTTGTTGTTGCTGATCATGTAATGTAGTAGTAGTATTATAAGCAGCATCATAATAAGCTTGATGTAAACCTTGTACTGCTGATCCTACTACTGGATTCATAGGTGGGACTATTGATGATGATGACATACCACCAACAGTTTTAGACATTATTGTATTAGCATCCTACAAACAACTACTACTACTAACTCTACTATTACTAGTATTACTACCTCAGTCTCTTCAGGTATAGATGGTATTGTAGGAGCAGCTGGTACAACTACCTTTCTAACTGGATGCTTTCGAGCATGTGTTTGATCAGAAGTTGATCGTGGTAGATCCTAATAACAACAATATGGTAATAATAAAAAATAGGGATATTACATCATGATCATCATCCTCATCAGAGGAATGTACTTCAATAAAGGTGTTCCTTATTTGTACTTCCTGCATTATAACAACAACAACACAATCACAACCACAACAACAACTGCTTAATCATTATCGATTATCATGGCGTGCGCTTTCTACACAGACTACTTTCAGGTCCTTGTTGAGCCGGGTCCTTCCTGTTGTTCCTCAAGAGTGCTCTATATCGAAGTCTATACTTGATCGATTCCTATACAGGTGTCATTATATTAGTAAGATTATTGTGGTGCCCTATAATGTAATAATGTTTCTGCGGTTGTTATTGTGTTGAAGTAATATATAAATCCTACATAATAGTAGTAGTAGATTCTCCGATTATTATTATGGGTACTACTCAAAGTAGTACTAATGATGTTAATGCTTACACCAACGAGTGATGATGAGGATAATAATATACATGATAGTGATGATGATGACCAGCAACAGCAGCAGCAGCATGATGATCATCCTAGTATGCTAATGGCAGTAGATAGTAGTACTCACATAGGTGGGTTTAGGGTTATGTCGATTAAAGAGGGATCACCAGCTCATATAGCTGGTATAGAACCTTACTTTGATTATATATTAGCATTAGATGGTATACAAGTATCGGATAATGATGATAAAGTATATAAAGCTATTATAGATCGTAAGATATGAGGTTGAGTAGTCTTAACTAGTATTATTGTTATTAGATGAGGAGAAGACTCTAACTCTATCAGTGTACTCAATACTTACTCTAGAATTACGAGAAGTTGATGTATTACCACATACTGCATGGAAAGGTTCATCACAAGGGTTATTGGGTATAACATTACATTATGAATATGTTGATGATGGTAGAGGACATGGTCTCAGAGTATTAGAGGTATTCCCTCATTCTCCAGCACATGATGCTGGTCTAACACCTGGATATGATTATCTTATACAAATGGTATATAATAATAGGATACTTAGGGATATACAAGATTTGAAAGATGAGTGTCATAAGTAATAGTAACACCTATAGTAATAGTGGTGGTGGTAGTAGTAATGGTTAGATACTGTACACTTGAAGAGGAGGAAGGTGTGCACACTTTGAATGATGATAATAGTCCTGTTGGTGGTCGTCGTCATACTCTCGATATTAGAGTATATAATTCTAAGTTGGGTAGAGTATGGATAGCACATATTAAACCATACCATCATTGGCCGTCATCATCATCATCATCAAGTCATACTTCTACTTCTGAGGGTTGTCTTCTAGGATGTGATCTTGGACAGGGAGTATTACATAGGATACCACCATTACTACTACCACCACTACATGAACATGATGATGATGACTGCAGGCTGACTCATGGCATGAATGATAATGATGATAGCAGCTTACATAGAAAGCAGGTGGATGAGGAGGAGGAGGAAGGAGAAGGAGGGTCCTCCTATACACCACCACCACTAGGAGATAGTCGACAACAACAACAGGAGAAGACTGATGGCCATGAGGGGATACCACCACCACAACCACAACCTGATGATGATCATGTTAGCAATGAAGGGGGGCGATCATATATACAGGAGAAGGAGGAGGAACATGATTATCATCATGGGGTCAATGCTCATGGTCATCATCATGATGATGATGGTGATGATGATGAAGCCGTAGTAGTAGTACCTCCAAATGGGAGGAGGAAGGAGTCCGACGACGACGACATGTTGATATCTTCCAATAGGCTACTATCAAATGTTAATGATACATCTCCTGTACCCGGTTATATCGTGGAATCCCGTAATATTAATTGAATATCATCACCACCACCTCGATTCACCATCAAGGGCTATTCATGAAAGTCGTAGTATCACCTTGAGCTCGTCATCATCATTATCATCATCTTTATGAGGTATATCAACTAACGTAATATTACTGCTCTTTGTTGGTGTTGATAATATCGTAGCGGTATGGTGATAATATCGTTCTTGATGGTGATGATGTCTTATTCCTCCACTTCCAACATCACAACAGAAGAGGAGTTATATAGGACCATGGCAGGGAAAGGGATTACAGAACAGCAGCAGCAGCAGCAGCAGCAACAGCAACAGGAGGAGGATATGGTGGGTACTACTACTACTACTGGTCGTCGTCGTTGTCGTCGTCGTCTGTACACGAGCATGAACCGTTTGGAATGTATTAGGATAGGTAAAAGGAGGAGGTGGAGGTGGAATGACTGGTGAGAAGGGTTCCTATGGTGATGATGATTATTATTATAATCCTGGTCATCATCATCATCATCATCGACCATCAGTGGCTACCTCCTCATCCTCTTCTTCAAGTAAATATGATTTCCCTACTGAGAGAAGAGATACTTACCAAAGAGGTAATATGGAAGAGAACGAGGAGTCTTATACGTGATGGGGATAATATATGCACTGGAACCGTGATTCGAACTCGGGATCTACTGCGTGTTGGACAGTCGTCGTAACCGACTAGACTATCCTAACGATTGTGGTTTGTCTGTTAGAGTATGTGTTGATCATCTTCTGATAGGCTTCACTACTCCAACATTATCGAGCAGTGGTGGTGATCGTACCATCCACTCGACAAGACGCTTCCTATCACCATCATATGCTGATGGTAGACGAGTAACCTCATCATCATCATTCACCTATACTCATCACGACATCAACCAACATCATCATCAACATGACAATGTCCGACCTGTCACATCAACACGTAGTGATAATAATAATAGTCAACGACTAGTCATTTTATAAGGTGCTGCTGGTTATACCCAGCCTACTAATGCACTATTCGATATGCCGATGAGTTTCGGTCGAGATAATAATAATACTACGATAAGATACTGGTCTATAATACTACGACTACGGTAATAAGATACTGGTCTACGTCTACTATTATGTTATTATGCAATGAGGGATGAAGGGGAGATGAGGAATACATTCAAGAGATTGTTATTGGTACATTAGTCTTCTTCTTGTTGTTGTTGCAATACATATCGTTGTCGTCCAATATAAGGTAAGTCGTGGTAAGGGGGATCCTACACTCTATGATGATAATAAGGATGATGATGATGATGAAGAGGATGAAGAGGAGGTAGTGTTTATGATGATTATCGTTGCACATTATGTTGATCCTCATCATATAGTGACGGTGGCGTTGTTGTTATTATTAGATAACTAAGAAGGAGTCTAAGATGAAGGACTACGACAATGTTGACGATCCCCTAGGAGAGTTTATTCATACCCGTATAAAGGAGTCTAGGAATATTATATTACAAGCAGCTGAGCTTATAGCACCAGTATTAGGAAGAGATGAGGTTAGCAGGACCAATCATCGAGGAAATGTACTATTATTATGTATAAGGGTGGTTAGTCTACAATGATGTTATCCTTATTAGAATGGTGGTGATTATGATTGGGTTATTGATACACTATATAGAGCAGGATACAGGAATATAGCTGCTAAAATGGAGATTAATAAGGCACATTATTATCTAAAACATAAACAATTTCATGAGGCTATAATAACATTAAAATCATTTCAAGAAGAACAACAAGAAGGAGAGGAAGGACAACCTAACCTCAACACGACGACGAAGACGACCACGATACATCATCATCATCATACTACTAATACTACAATGGCTGCTGCTGCTACTAATCTAAGCTTTATCTACTTTCAAGTGAGTATGGGATAATGAGAGGGTTATTATTAATATTCATGAATACCACACCATCCTCTACATCTTCTACAGGAAGGTAATTATAAAGAAGCGGAGAGGTATGCAGATATGGCTATTAAGATAGATAGGTAAGATAGATTATTATCATTATCATACTATTACTACTAGTATGATGATGATGATCAATATTACTCAGATATAACTGTGAAGCCTTAGTTAATAAGGGTAATTGCTTATTCGTGTGTAATGAATTATATAGAGCTAAGGAGTTATATTTGGAAGCTATAGGAGTTGCTTCTTATTGTCTAGAAGCTATCTATAATCTAGGATTAGTATGTAAACAAGCATGTAATATATATGAGTATAATGATAGAGTAATAATAATATTAAGGTGAATATAATGAGGCATTGATAGCATTCACCAAGTTACAAGAAATAACAAAAAGTAGTATAATGTTGTCAAGTACTCGTAACTAGTAGTAGTAGTATAATAGATAATTGTGATGTATTATGGCAACTTGGAGATATATATCATAAGATAAGTAATTATAAAAAGGCTCATGAATATTTATCACTTATCTTAACACAAGGAATGGCGAGAGGCAGACCTAATGACCCGACTGTAATACTACTAATACTAGTAGTAATACAATAGTAGTAGTAGGTATTAGCTCGTATTGGAGAGTTATATGAGATAGAAGGTAATGAAGTAGAAGCCTATCATAACTATATGGAAAGCTATCGTAATTGGCCATTGGACTTAACTGTTATTACATGGCTTGGGGTTTATTATGTTAAAAAGGATTTGTAATAATATCATCATCATACTACTACTACTGTTGGTTGAGTAGTAATATGAGTATTAGTATTAGGTTTGAATCAGCTATACCTTTATTCAAAAGGGCTAGTGATATATCCCCATCAGAGCCTAAATGGATGCTTATGATAGCTAGTTGTTATCGTAGAATGGGTAATCAACAAAAGGCTTATAATATGTACGTTATTATCAAGGAATGGTCATATATAGATATAATGTAGGTACGAACATATATATCGTAGATTCCCGCATAATATTGAACCACTAAAGTAATAAATAACATTATTTAATGTTTATCCTAACTACAGGTACTTGGTATCAATATGTAAAGATATGGGTAATAATACAGCTTATGAACAATATATGAAGATTCTTAATAAACTACAACATCATCATAATAAGGATGAGGATGAGCAGTGTAATAGGTTAGATAAGATTGAGGAGGATGATGATGAAACAGTAGTTAGTATTAACAAGTA